TCCATTTTTGGTAACTGCGCTCCCACTTTGCCACTGCTCTGCCTCCCCTCACCTTATATCTTCTTGCAGAGCGAATCAAGATGACGGTTTGAGAGCAGTTCGTCCTACGACCGCTAATAGAGGCAGGGACTGTAGGCGTGCATCTGCGGCCGTCGGCGTTTTTGTTGGTGAGTTTTCGTCAGCAACTTCGGATCCCCTTCCAAGCTTCTGTTCATCAAGTGATTTAGTAGTATAATTCAGGCGGCGGCGAGTTCGATTTTGTAGCAAAGGGAGTTTGAGATGTGTTGGCTTCGTGCCATTGGGGCGGCGGTGAGTTTGATTTTGTAGCAGAGGGAGTTTGAGATGCGTTGGCTTCATGCCGTAATGGGGCAGCGACGAGTTCGATTTTGTAGTTTGGGTGATGATATATTGTGCATGATTCTAGTGTAATTTCGTCTTGCAACAATAATCTATGGGTAATTTCATAACTACCAGGACTAATTGATTGGAATTACCACCATATTTGTCATGTGTTACCACGAAAATGCATGCTATCTGACATGCTTCAGATCCAGCATAATGCTTAATGTTTTTTACTAGAACCTTTATTGTTTGTCAATACCACTGTATTAGTTAGGGTTTACCCTGAAATCCCACTTTAGTTCGCTTGTTGCATATCTAGCATAATGCTTGATTTTTGCCGTGGCTTATTTGCTTCAGATTACTACTGTATTTTGTTAGTTGTTCTCAATTCCTCTATTGTTTTCAAATTAATAGTGGTTATAGTAACAATATTTATTGTGAAATAAGAAAGCTAGAATGGATGTTAAGTTGTGAATACTAGTCCCACTCTAGTTTATTTGTTTCATATCTAGCATAATGCTTGAATTTTGCCATGGCTTATTGCTTCAGAATACCACTTGATTTTTTTAGTTGTTCCCATGCAATTCTTGTCCTCTTTTTCAAATTACCAGTGGTTGTAGCAACAATAGTTAATGTCAATTAAGAAAGTTACCATGACTGATAAGTTATGATTACCAGTCTCAAGCATACAAGTTGTCACTGGATTTGTTGGTTGTTACCCTACAATTCCTCTCGTGTTTTCAAAATACCAGTGGTTATAGTAACAATAGTTATTGTTGATTAAGAGAGTTATCATGGCTGATAAGTTATGATTTCCAATCTCATGCATACAAGTAACCATTGGCTTTTGTTAAGTTATTTGTTGTTGTGTCTTCCAATTTCACCTTTCGTAACTAATTAAATGTCTGTCCTTAATTTGTTTTGTTTCTTTGTACTTGGCAGGGGCACGATGCCAAGGAAGCACAAAGGATTTGGTGATGGCCATGAGGGTGTTTCCTTCAAAAAAGCCGAAGCGCCCCCACCTATGAATAGGGCTTCGCCTAACTCACTTCTGGCCGCATGTAAAGATCTGTCTGATGGTAAGAAAAATGCTATCGATGAAATGGAGTTGAAAGCCTTCAAGAGATCAAGTGCGACCACCTCTTCAGTTTTCTTAGTGAATGGCTTGCCGGGTTATACGATCCAGACTCTCGTGAAGTGGTTGTTCCGGGGCATGGCAGGATCCCTGTTAATGAAGAGTCAGTTCATCGTGTGATGGGTGTGCCTCGTGGTGGGGATGATGTCCCTTACAACCTGCCCACAGAAGCTGATATTGAGTTAGGGATTGAGATGTTTGGTGAGCTTGGACATACGCCGAAGATGACAGATGTCCTTGATCTTATAATAGGTTTTGTCAATTATGATGAGAAGTTCAAGCGGATGTGGCTTATGCTTGCCAGCAATACTGTCATTGCGCCTACTACATGCAACGAGATCAGCCCTAGATGGCAGTGGCGTAGCCAGGATTTTGGATTAGGGTGGTCCGATTGATCTAAAATGTGTCCCACACTATTTAAGGGGGCAATTGCCCCCCCCCCCCCGCGTGTTTGAATCAATCTATGAAGAATTTATTCATGAGAGGGTTTAGATGGGAAAAATTAGACTTTGCCCTCACCCCCACCCCCAACAAAT